ATACCTGCCATTAGTGCGTTTAATCACAAACTATTCGAGTTGGGGGTCAATGACCGCACATATAATTTATTACACCATGTCAACCTTTGCTGGAATGCGAAATACTAAATTATTTTAAGGGTATGTACACACTGATCGTATTCAAAATTCGAACTCGATTAGAAAATGGAATAAATAATAGAGAGTTATTATGTTTTATATTTTATTCAATGCTTTATCTTTTTTATCGCTTTTTATATTATATCAACATCTATTAATAAAAAATTTGTCTCTACAGAATATATAAATTATTAATTAGATTTCAAAGTGTCTTAAATTTTAAATTAAACTAAAAAATAAAACTTTTTAATTGTCTGTGTTAAGTAAAAATAAAATACATTACTAAATACTCTTACTCCGTTCTAAATTAAACTTATGAAATCAAAATTATACAATTAAACGTACACTGTACGCACACCTTTATTACAACTTTTCCGGTTAAAATTTTTGAAGGTCACAAAATTCCTATAGAGAAAATGTTAAATAGTTTTCGTAAAAATTGAATCACGCATTAGCATATTTAGCGCTTAATAGTAATACAGTTGTGGAGAAATTTGTATTAGAATTTCATATTTTTAGAATACAGGAAACAACATAAGCCTTGGCCGAATATAATCTTTTGTAACCTTGAAGACGTTATGCATAAAAAAAAATATTTTGTCAATCCATCTCTGGCTTGACCAAAATGGCGGTACAAACTTTGGTCAAACGTTAATTCAATAAAATTAAATCGTTAACCTTATATACTAATTTATTTTCTTAGTAAATACTCGTCACTTACCGTGGGTTTTTGAGACCAAATCTCAACAGGAAACATATTAAACTGATATAAAAACGGCTAAACACTCACGTATATTCGTCCGGTGGCGGCACCGACTAGTTTCGAGCCCATCGGGGGCCCTTCATCAGGATGAGTGGTACTGGTATTATTTCACGGACACGGCCAGTCGCTCACACTAACTAGTCGGTGCCGCCACCAGACGAATATTAGGTGCGCAACTAAGTTCTCGCTGTTTGTCAGTAGATGGCTCTAGCAGTAAGAGCTGGTCGATTTTGACATATCCAAAAAAAAAGCGAGAACTTAGTTGCGCACCTAATACATACGTGAGTGTTTGGCCGTTTTTATATCAGTTTAGTATAATGTCTCACGAAAGTTTGAATAATTTAATGAAACATATTGTTATCTCTCTTTTGTCATTGATAATGACAAGGATGTCGATATTTTACTTCTTACTGGTGTGGATGGATGGATGTTTGTTAGAAGGTATCTCCAGAACGGCTGAATGGATCTTGCTGAAATTTATTATGGATGCAAAACATAGCCTGGGAGAATACATTGGTTACTAAATAAGTTATTTTTGCAATTCCGCGATGATGGAGTCGCGGGCGACAGTTATTATTTTATACAGATATTTTGGTCTCAGAAACCAATGGTTAGTGTATATTTATTGAACTAAACATACACTAAGGTAGCACTTAAGTGATACAATACAGATTTTAAATGCAGTAAATGTAATTTAGTTATTACGTATTTTATTTTGACGTAACGAAAGACCATAAATTACTAAACACGTGTAGAATCAATCATCCGCAAAGCTCGCCAACTGACACAGGAAGTTAAAGCAATGAAGGTTGCGCTACGTTATTCAATTATAACTTATTTTACTCTAAGTTAAGTTGCCAATTTAAGTTATCAATTTCATGACGCATTTAAAGATTAAATGCCACAGTAATCGTCGAAATATAGTAACTTAGATTAAGGATTGTCGTAGTATTATGTGTGTGATTTTCATTTTAAAGTGTTTGTATTACAAGTCGGGTTCAGTTTATTTAAAAGTTATTTTATCTGTGCCAAAAGTGACATGAATACATTGAATGGGCATAAGTTGGCTGGTCCAGGAGACAGGGAGAGCCGGCGCCGGGCGGGCGCGAGTTGCGAATTGTCGGATTGGCGATCGATGGACCTCCGAGACACCGCGGCGCCGCTTGCGTCGACAAACTTACAGCACACAATGGTATGTAGCTGTATTGGTTTTTTATGTTTCTTTTTAAAAGCTACAGTTTTTTGCCTCTTTTTATTTTTTTCACAATGTGGTAAACTTCCTAGCGCGAAGTAAACGTTACCTGCAGCCTTTTGTTACAAATTAAAAATTACAAATTTGACAATAGTAGTTTTTTACTAAATTAACTCTGAGATATTATTTATGGCTAGAAAGAATAGAATACTTAAGTTTTATCTTTCTTTAATATGATCGTTAAATTTAAATCTCTAGAGCTCTGCACGAACAAATGTCACTCTACCTTGTGTCAGATTACCTTACTTCTTACTAAAATTATGAATGCGAATGTGTGGATGGACTGATGCATGCATGAATGAATGGATCGATGGTTATTAGAAGGTACATATCTCAAACACAGCTGAATAGATCTCGCTTTTTGGCGTACTGTAATGAAGGTTTTCTTTAATTCCGCACAGATGGAGGCGCGGATTACAGCTAATATGGGAATAAAAGCAATAATCTCGCTAAATGAATAAAGCAGCTACGTACGTTTGCGCGCGGTGCACGCGGCGCGGCGCCCGCCGGCCCGTCTGCAACAACAGTAAACAGTCGAACTTGCCGCATCCCATTGTCTACGCCACATTATCTACGCCTGTTTACACTGACAATGTCTCGATACACAATCTAATACTATCGCTTAATTAAATTATTGTTACCACATTTTGCTCGCTTATTTAATTTCAGATTCAGATCTTACAGTATTTTAATATACAGACATAAAATTTAATATACAAATATAAAATGTGAATGCAAGTAACTGTAAACAAAAACCTTATTATATCATTTCGATTTAAAGCAAAAATTACGTAAACAGGGCTACGACAGAATCCATACATGGCTGCCATTTTGTTATTTTACATTTTTCGTTGTTAGGTAAAAATTATGAGATACAGCGAAGTTGAAAAAAAAGGTAACTAGTTTTATAGATTGTAACAAAAAGTGTTTTACCTAAAATATTACTTACGAGTTGTACTGCAAATTGTCTATGATTCAGAGTTAAGATTGAAATTAGTTATAGTTCTTTCTGTTTTATCAAGTAATGTCTCACTACATGTATTTTGGTGGAAACCTAAAGCAATACTAATATGTCTTAATGTAAAATATTTAGTATTATAACTAGATAGTGTGTCAAGAATGTCATTCGCTATACCAGACGATTGTGGTTAAGGCAAACATCCGTTGTAACAGAAACTATGCAATGGTAGAGCATTCTATTCGCATTCCTGATTGACTCTGTGTATACCTAAATCGGGGATGTCGATGGCTCAGTGGTTAACTTGACTTGTAATCTGCAAGTAATGGTTTCAAATCCCGTTATGTATTTATTTACATATGTACATCCGAGGTTATACAGTGAAGGAAAACATCGTAATACAAATATCTGAGAAGAAATTCAAAGATATGTGTGAAGTCACACATTGGGCAAGCGTGGTTGACTATGGCCTAGTCGCTAACTTAGTGTAGGCTCCGAGCCCCTCAGTGGAGACGTATAGTGAGCTGATGATACTTAAATATCATCACGAGTACAGACTATACATTTTTAAATAATCAAGTTTTTCTTTTTTTTAACTTAAGAATTACATTTATTATCTCAATTGACTTCACAGTATTTTTTAAGGTTCCGTACCTCGAAAGTAAAAAAACCCGAACCGTTAGTTTTCCATCCGTCTGTCAAGACTCTTATTCTCAGGAACGAGTAAAGGTATCAAGCTTGAATTTATTTACAGTATTGTAACAAAACGAATCCTTTATAATTTGAAAAGGCATTGTTAACTTCTTGTAATCTTTCATAAGACAGAAATAAATTATATTATAAGCTTGTACAATGACATTCAAAGTGGCACTTGTTAATCAAATTTCATGTAACAGTTATTTTCACTTTTCAAGTCTGTTAAATCAACACTGAGAAGTGTCTTTGAGAAAGGTGCGTGGGCGATGTGAAGTAAAATAGCCTTGAATATTCCTTCGCGAACCGAAAACTTTTTAAGTAAACGTTTTGAAGAAAGTGATGCTAAAAATAAGTTTAATAATTTAATAAAGAAATTCTTAGGTTTAACTTATTTGTTATAAGTTTAAATTTTATTTTACAAGTAATAAAATTAAGTATGGGTCTTATAAAAGAGATAATTACCTCGTCTAGAAAATACTATCTTAATTAAAAAAAAAACTTTGTTTCTTTTTTTATATTATAAGGTGGCAAACGAGCGAGCGGCCACCTGAAATCGCTGAAATAGCGAAGTGACCGTTGCCCATAGACATACGCAATTGCATATGCGTTGCCTACCTTTAATCGACGGAGGATGCACAGAAAGAAAATATTTTCCCTTTCCATGCATCCTCTCATCCAGAAAGTCCACTTCCACTTCCCATCGTTTCCTTTTAAGAAAAACGGTGGGAAGAGAAAGAGGACTAAATTAGGCCTCCCGACGCACACTCATCGGAAGAAACGCGAAATTGCTTCCACTTGACGTCTCTCTTCTATGTGGTCGTGGTATTTCGTCGGGCGAGCCGGGCCAATTCGTGCGAAGATGTTAAAGCGGGCTCTACAATGTTGGGATTCAAACCCACAACCAAACTTGATTTACAGTTTAGGTCTTAGTACCTATTTCCTTTAGCCTTGCAAATCACTATTATTATACTAAATTGTACTTTAGTTAAGTGCAAATCCACTGTTCGTCTGTCTCGCGCAATTAATCGCTTAGTGAAAATAGCCATTTATATCAAACCAGCTTAGCGGTACAGCCTACTTAACATCAACTGATGTGACCTTATGTTGGTATGCCGGCTGTGTACTAAGTTTTTAGAAAGTGTACCACGTCTCTCTCACACATTATTAATATGTTTGTTGTCTCTCTCTAACACCATACGGAGTAAAATCAGTGTTACTTGAGAATATGTGATGCGCGTATTGTTTTTCGCAAAGTTAAAAATAAAACAACAATACTGGCTGTTTTAAGTGTTTTTTCAATTTGAATTATGAATCGAAAAATGGATGAGTTGACTATGGTATGTTTTTTTTATTATATTTTTGTGACAGCTTGTTATTACGTACTTGAAGTAAATTTTTTATATAAAAGATGACATATCTTCATACTTGTCAATACTAAAATTTTAAACTAGTTTCTTGTGCAATTTTAAATATGTTTGATATGAAGTAAATCTTACTTCTTGAATGGATGGATCTTTATTAAAAGATATCTACGGAACGTATTATTAATAGTATTGTTATATCTAATGACATGTATTTACTATCCATTTACATAAAATATGTAATATACATAAATAGAAACATTTATCTTACTTCTTACTTATATTATAAATGCAAATGTTTAGATGGACGGATGTTTGTTTGAAGGTATCCCCAGAATGGATCAACGGATCTGGATGAAATTTAACGTACATGTAGAATATAGTCTGGAAGAATACTTAGGCTACTTACTAAGTTTTTTTTTATTCCGCGCGCTTAACGGAGTAGCTGACGACAGCTACTAATAGAAATTTCTTTATTATATTATGAATAAGACATTTTAAGTATTGAATTTTTGAATAAAAAGAGTAAATAAAATAATTTCTTATACTTTTTCATCAAGAGATTGTACAAAAATGTTAAAAATTAAAACACATGATAATTAGATTACTTGATAAAGTAAACTATGATTCATTGTTAATACTGACCGATAATAAGATTAATCTTATCTCTGGACCAAAGATAATGAGGTATTTAACATTTTTTTAGACTATAACCAATCTAACTGACCAATGCCCCATTTTTTTGTGTTAATAAAGAGATTTTTTTATATCATAAGGTGGCAAACGAGCGAGCGGGCAACCTGAAATCGCTGAAGTAGCGAAGTGACCATTGCCCATAGACATACGCAATTGCATATGCGTTGCCTACCTTTAATCAACGGAGGAGAGGATGCACAGAAAGGAAATATTTTCCCTTTCCATGCATCCTCTCATCCGGAAAGTCCACTTCCACTTCACACCTCACACCATCCTCCACTTCCACTTCACACCATATCTCCCACCCTTTTCTTATAAGAAAATGGTGGGAGATATGGGCCTAATAGACTCCTGGCTCTAAGCTACCTCCTCACCAATTTTCAATCATATCGGTAAAGCCGTTCTTGAGTTATAAATAGTGTAACTAACACGACTTTCTTTTATATATATAGATATAGAAATTTCTATGTGATTGTGAAACTAGTAATTGTTCCCTATTCGTTACATTTTCCGTTTGCCAATAAAATACATTAGTTTATTCTACCCTACTAATATTATATTTAACTTATATGTATCAAGGAAGAAAATAATAAATATCTTATTTATTTATAGGACACATCTCAAACACATGAAAAGGAAAAAAATAACAACGAGAATAATAAAGAGACAGATTCCATTCATGGATTATGTCGACATAAATATAATGAAAGAAATCGAAATCTATTTTTATTTATATTTATTATAGCAGTGTCTCTAGGGATGATTATACCAAAAATAAAATTAGATAATTATAAAATCTTAACCAAAGATTATAAAACAGACAGACGGAATTATTGGGTATATTCTGCATATAATGATGTAGATAATAAAAATGGATTATTAAAGCATGTCCATTTGGTTCTTGAAAGATTAGGTTATGAGAAAAGTTCTAACACTACACCATGGAGTCTTCTATGGTCGCATGATTACCCTTTCCGAGTGCTATATCCAAATTTACATAGGTTAAAACCAAAACAAATGGTCAATCACTTTCCCGGTACGGGATTTATAACTAATAAAGTTGATTTGGCAACTTCGAACTCTAAATACATACCGAAAGCGTTCAAATTACCCGCCAATAAAAAAGAGTTTCTTCAATACGCATCAAAGAATAAAGATGCATTATTTTTGGAAAAACACAATCAACACAGAGGAGTATTTCTAAAGAATGTGAGTGAAATAGACCTGTCAAGTGGAGAAAGTTTTGTGCAGGAGTACGTGCAAAAACCGTTTTTAGTAGACGGACATAAGTTTGATATTGGTGTGTATGTTGTTCTCACATCTGTCAATCCTCTAAGAGTTTATTACTACAAAGGTGATGTATTATTCAGGTAAATATGTACAGTTTTTTTTATACGTTAGGATATTGATGTCGTCAGAATATGGGATGCATCTAATGACATGACGATAGCTTTTTGCCATCTGAATCTTACTTAATCTATGTTTTCAAACTATTCCTAAAAACATCTGAATAAAAAAATGCGTAATTTATTCAGTTACATAAATAAACTCTCCTAATAATAAATTCAGCTAAGTTTTAATTAATTTTAGTATTAATGAAATTCAAGAATAAAAATTAAGGCCACTACGTCTGTTCGTTTAACAGTTTTTTTATCTAATTTATTAAAAAGTAAAAGTGGAAAAAAAATCTTCTTTATAAGCAAGATATAATTTTTAATATCATAAAGCTAATTTTCTAGAAGCGACCATGATTACAACAATAAAGAAATATCATTCATTCAGTTGTATAATAACACATCTAGCCACTAATAATAAAATTATACGTAAACAGTTGAACCTAGCTAAGTGAGAATCCTAGGGACCGCAATATTTTCCTCCTCCTTTATATAGGTTTCTCACTTATCCAGATTCGACAGTATACCTATCAACGATTTGATTACAAATTATTACTCTCTGCTGTAACGAAATTCTTTGTTTCAGATACTGTCCAGCAAAATACTATCCATTTGATCCCAAAGTATTAGACAAGTATGTAGTAGGCGACGATTATCTTCCAACATGGGAGGTGCCATCTCTCGCACATCCCTACACTGCGTTAGGGTTCACTATGAAGGAAGCCTTTGATACCTACGTCAGATCTAAGGTAAAATCATAAAACGGAGGGCTATGGACGACCTTGTTACATTTAAAATTAATTAAAAAAAGATTTAAATCCGATATGAGATTAATTTTTAGTAAGAAATCGAAATGGGATATTTTCTAAAGTAAGCTAAGGCATGAAACGGCAATAGATTAGTTAAAGATCACTACCGACCACGTGTAGGTTCGATTCTCGCCATTCGACATTTTAATTTTTACCTTGCTCAAAATTCACCCTTAGAAAGGTCACGAAAATTGTATATAATAAGCGTAAGCGCGTTAAGCGTTCAGCAAATACTGTTATTAAGAATTTCTTATTTATTTTGCTTGTGTATTAATTGATAATCAATTAATGTCAGGGTAAAGATCCGGCAGTAATGTGGGCTGAAGTAGAGCGAGCTATATCTGAAGTATTTCTCAACAAGGAACATCATATCATTGAGGCAGTGAGTATATGTTTTACTTGTGTTTCGTTGTTAATGGAATTTATCTGTTTGTTTACTTCATTTTAATTATTTTAAAACGTGTTATCCATATTATCGCAGTTTAATCAGTTAGTGATTTAAATGTTTATTTCCTTTTACATTCCCTCGTTTTTTTTGTCTTTTAAATACACAAAATCTGGATGACCGAGCTTTGCTCGGTATTTTTTTTTAAATTGTGTTTTTTGGAAATTATATTTAAGTACGAATTACTAATAAAATGATGAAATATGAATAATATTTTTCGATCTTACCGATAGAAAAAGTTAGGTTTATGTTTAAGTTGATTATCGATAAAACACGAATAAAATGACATTTTATAAAAATGATTCCTAGCTAGATCGATTTATCGCCCCCGAAAACCCCTATATACTAAATTTTATGATAATCGTTGGAGCCGATTCCGAGATTCCAATTATATATATACAAGAATTGCTCATTTAAAGATATAAGATTTACATTTAAATGTTCAAATCTTACTTCTTACTAATATTATAAATGTTAATATTTAGATGGAGGTTTGTTTGAAGATGTATTCGGAACGGCTTAACAGAGATCGTTGAAATTTGGCATAGATGTAAAACATAGTCTGGAAGAACACATATGCTAATCATTAAGTTTTTTTAATTCCGCGTGGACGGAGTTCCGGACTGCAGCTACAATTATAAATATAACGGTTAATTATGCCTTTTTATGTTTTTTTCTGCCAGCTAAAGAATTATCCATCGGGAGATAACTTTTTCGAGATGATGCGCTTTGATTTAGTCGTGGACGAGAATCTAAAGGTGTATCTTCTGGAAGCTAATATGTCACCTAACCTAAGCTCTGCTCATTACCCGCCAAATCAGCTGTTGTACGAACAAGTTTTGTATAATCTATTCTCTTTGGTTGGTGTTGCCAGTTATATGAATGGACGTGAAAATACAGATTTAAGGTAAAATGTCTAATTTATGTATCGATTAACATATTGTATGTGTGTTTAATAGTGTGCGTATGTTAAACAAGACACAGATGATTCAATCTGTGTCTCTATTAGTGCTGAGTAATTTCGCAATGATATCTGTGCCCTTCATATTTTTTATATAATGACTATTAAAATTACAATTTCTCTGCATATTATATGTCGACAAATCATTTATATAGATCATTGTTAAATTTTACTCATACCACTCATACCAAAAAACCGTGGATTCTTGAAATTATACAACATTTAACAAATGGTTGTACAAGTGCTCATTTTTATATAGTTTAATAGATTAGGGTAAGGCATATGTTTCATAGATAAGAATCCCTTAGTAAGAAACACCCAAAATATGTATTGTAAGGATCAATCGTTAAAAGTTTTATGGCTTCACTAGGTACGGATCTAGGATTTGTACGAAAGATTTATATTTATAAATAGCATTTACTTTTGGTGTTTTCCGTTGGTTTTTTTAGTCTCGAACAGTCCAACGGGTACTTACTTCGTATTAAATCTATATATATAAAAGAAAGTCGTATTATTAATAACACTATTTATAATTCAATAACGGCTTTACCGATATGGCTGAAAATTGGTGAGGAGGTAGAGGAGCCAGGAGATAGACATAGGATACTATTTATTCATTTTTTTTCGAATTTATGCCTTGAAGAGCTGCTTTTTATTTAACTTACTAATATTATAAATGCGAATGTTTAGATGGATGTGATGAGTATGGATAGATGGGTGTTTGAAGATATCTCTAGAACGGTTGAACAGATCTCGATTAAATTTGGTATACGTATAGAACATAATCTGAAAGAACGCATAAGCTGCAATAGTTAAGTTTTTTATATATCCACACGGACGGCTAGTATTTAAATATAAGAAAGTAGAAAACTTACACTGTTGAAAGAAAAGGTAAATTTTTATTAAAATTAAGTAAACATTACGACACTACTTAATATCAAACTTTGATAGTTACTTCGAAAAAGATCTATTTTCCCGAATTGCCGAAACATCGCTAAAACCGAGATAACAATGTTTTTGCACAGGTGTTAAGTCAAAGAAAACGCATCACAAATATCTCTAATAATCGTATTTAAAATGTTTTACTATTTTTTTAGGGGACAGTCCCAAGCAGAAAACATGGTGTCAGCACAGAAAAATATAGCGGTATGGAGTGACGAATGCAGCACAAAATGCAGAGATCGTTGTGAAATTTCACCAGTCTGTGGTCTATGCAGGCCTTGTCTTGGCGCCAAATTGAGAAAGAGTTTACTTAAAGCTCATAAAGAATTCTTACATAAGGGTGATTTCAAAAGATTATTTCCTCCTGAAATGGTAACATTCTTATCACGTACATGTCTGTTAATAATAGACTTTAAGTAGTGTCTCTAGTCCTGATATTATGCGAATATTTAGATGGATGGATGTTTGTTAGAAGTTATCTCCAGAATGGCTGCATGGATCTCCCCGAAATTTGACATAGATGTCGAACATAACCTGGAAGAACACATCTATTTTCACGCTTACTTAGTTTCGTTCTTAGTTCCGGCGACAGCTTATTTAAAATATGTTTACAATAGCCAAGGACAAATCACGAAATGAATTGCCGGTATTGAATTTGCCAGTCAACGAATATTATTATTTCTTACAATTATAACTGATTTCTCATTAAAACTTGTGTGGTAACCATTCTTATCAGTAACCTACAACTTGTAGACGCCTTATCAAATATTTACTTAAAAAAGTATATGTCAGACAGTTTATGTTCTGGGCAACAAATTGTCGCCAAAAAGATTATACTATGCTGACAATCTGATTGCTATACACCAGATATACGATTGCTCAATTCGATGAGTCATGAGATAAAAAAAAAACAATTAATTTCTAACCAAGATAATCTTACGATGTTAAATTAGTTTACGATTTTCCTTTCTAAGTTTTCGATATAAGATTTAATAATTGTAATTCTTCTGCGTCTATCTCTTTGTTCTTTGCTATTTAATCTTTTTTTTACGTTTTCAATTACCTTCAACCTTGACGTTGGCGAAATCATCGAAATTAAACGATGGGGTCCACTAGTAATTAAAAGAAGAATTGTCAGACCACAGATTTTTAGTAGGCGGTTTGTCAACCACATAAACTAAATCAAAACAGCAAAGTGTCATCCACATTTGCAGATGCGTTCCCTGTCTTTAATCGCACAGGAAAATGACATTTCACCTGTAATTCTATGCGTCGCCATGCACCGATAAATGTACCTCACATTCTTCGCAATAGTGGGATGGAAAAAATGTTTAAAATTAGACCACCGGAACGAATTGACCAAACGAAACGCGGAATTGCGTCCCCTTAACGCATGTTTTCTATGGTCGAGCCGGCCTATTCGAGCAACAAACGCTATTGCTGGCTCTACCACTGTTAAAATGTATTGGTTAAGCAGAACAGTGTCATAGCTCATAAATTTGATTTCAGGTACAAAAACAATTAACTACAGAGCAATTTAAAAGCTTGAATAAAATGAATCAACAGCAATATTTATGGTATCAAGGAAAATGTAACATCGACATCACTTGGTGTAAATAAAATATATTTGTAAAACAAATTATTTATTAAAAGTAACATTTATTTATCAAATTTAAAACAACGCTTTCTTATTCTATTACTATATGAAGTGTCTCTAGACATTTTGCAAAGACATCATCGCCACAACTTCAACACAATAACTCCATCTCATTCTTTCTCATTGAAACAACAAAGGAACCAACATGATTTAGTTTCTTGGTAACTGGCATTCAACTACCCATATGAACATATTTCTCAAGAATATGACAGATAAAAAATCTGATAAGAATGTCATACAGGGCTATAGTAGCACATCTTTAGGTTTCTTTAGAGCACTGTGCTAATAACCTCTGGTATACATCTGTTTGAGGTCTTTGTCATTGAACCATAGATTGAAGGAGTCCTAATATATAACTCCCCAAATCCTCATCCTGACTGGTCCATGACACATATATGTTCTTCGTATTGTCACTATCACCTTCAAACTTGATGAGAACAGATTCTACTGATATATTACCATCAGATATTGTAATAGACCATCCTTGTAATTTCTCTTCAAGTAAAGCTTTAAGTTTCTCCGCAGTTTTAACAGCTGGACCGCTATCTTCAAAACGGACTGTACTTGTAAAACGAATTACATGTCTATTTATGCCAATTTCATTACAAACTTCATCAATATCAAGGAATGAAAGTCTGTTATCCTTCACACATAAGATTCCATGAACGATTCTACGTCTTTTTGGATCTGGGGGCTGTGCGTTATATCTCACAGATTCAGCTTTAAGTAATCTTAAGGAGACATCAATAGGTATCTTTGTTGGAGTACTAATTATACTTGTCTCACCATTAGCTGGCATGTAACAATTGATTTTAAATTCTTTTTCAATTTTGTCCTTTAAAAACTCCATTTTTTGAGCCTCTCCATGTACAAGCAACACATTTTTAGGCTCACAGTACTGTATTAATTGCATTATACCCTTTGCATCAGCATGTGCTGAAAATGACATATACTCTACTGCCATTTTAACATCAACAACTTGACGATTCTCAAATTCGACTTTTTTTGCACCATTAAGAATTTTGTGACCAACAGTACCTTGTACACAAAAGCCGGGCATTATCAACATGTTCTGCTCATAAGGTGCCCATTTTTTAAATATATTCAAAGACAAACCTGCATGTAACATTCCAGGGGTGGCAAAGACAACCATAGCACCAGGGTTGTCTATGTATGATTTATCAAAAGGTTTTATGTGTTTAAAATCAAACATATTCCTTTGCACAAAAGTCTTTCTAATCTTTTGGTTGGTCCATGTTATAAACATTTTGTAGTAATTGTTTGCTTTCTCAGTTAGACCCAAGGCAAAGTAAACAGGGTACTTCAAATTCATTCTCTCCCAATATGTTTCAAGTAGAATACACAATTCTTGGGCCCTACCTAACGCAAACACTGGTATCAACACTTTGCCTCCTTTTTCAACACATTCATGTACCTTTTTAAGGAAATCTCGTTCACGGCAGCGTTTTGAATCACGGATGGTTGTTGCATAAGTTGACTCTGTTATCATTAAGTCAGGTCTGCATTTATCTATCCAAGCGGCTCCAAGATGTCTGTCTGGTGTCATGTTATAATCTCCAGTGTATACAACAGATTGATTGCCAACTCTCACCCAAAACATAGCAGCACCTAAGACATGGCCAGCATAGTATGCTTTTATTTCCAACTCATTGTCCACCATCACAGACTGATGCAATGTTACAGCAGTCACTTTCTTTATGCAATCTTTAATCATTTGTGATGTAAAAAAATTTGACTCTCCCTTCCTCTCTACGATAAGTTTCCTCATGTCTTCTAGCAGTATTGGAGCGATAGCTTTTGTAGGATGAGTCATGTAAATCGGTCCAGTATATCCAACCATTTCGGACATGTAAGGTAAAGCGCCACAATGGTCCAAATGAAAATGAGATATTATAACACAATCTATTTGACTTGTAATCGGACCTTCAGGAACAATGTACGAAAAATCCGGAAATCTACGTTCATCATTATATCCCATGTGCATACCACAATCTAACATAATATTTTTACCGCCCATTGAGAGAAGAATACAACTGCGTCCTACATCCTGACCAGCTCCTAGGGGGGTAATCTTTATGTCAGGCATTTTGATGAAGTGCCTTATTTACACTTTGTAAGTTTTTTGTCACGATCTTTGAATTACTTCCTATGGCGTAATCATTAAATTAAACACCTTTGTAAGTTGCCTTATCTCACGTCTATACTTCGAAACTATATTATAAATTTTTGAGAGTGAATCGTTCACTACATGGTATAGTTTAAAATAGAATAATTAAACAAACTATATTTGCATTACTTGTAATTACACAGCCAAACGAGTTTAACCAAGTTTAGAAACAAATTCTCCTAATTTTTTGTCCTTCTTTATCAACTCAGCACGCAGTTTATAAATCATGACATTGACAAATTCAAAGAGTATAAGCAAAGTATAAGAATATTCGTAAGTTCAATCGTTACATGTTTTTTGACATTTAAAAGACGATATCATACTGATAGTGATGTACAATGAACGTTAACATCGATGAAAATATTGATATGGAATTATACCTTTTGATGGATGCCTGTTAAAAATTTTAGTTTACAAGGATTAGAATTTACAGATTAAAAACATTTTTAAATTTTTCCTAAAAAATATACGAGTCTTCGATCTACAATACGGATTTGCATTAAATTAGCCACCAATTTAATTTTTAGTATATAGTTTATAGTATTATTTTGGTAGTTTAATTCATTAGTCATTTAATTACTGTAAGAATGTAAATATATTCTATTTATAGACGAAAGATTTACATATTTATAATGCGTATTGTTTAATAATGAGAAACACGATGTCATTGTCCATTTCATTTTTTAAATCTCAATATTATGTTTTTGCAAAACGTTTAAAAAAACTTCAATTATTTAAAAGCTTTGAATTAAAAATCGATTAAATTCAATAATTTGTGATTTGACATTACATGAACGACTCATTGTTTACCAATGACAAGTGATGACAAGAGAAGAGACAAGGACAAGAATTTTTTTGTTTATCGACTTGACGCAATTCAATCAATCTTGCTATTTTGCTTCAAATTAAATCAAATTGTATATTAAAAGGTCAATTTTCTACTAAATATAAAAAAGAATTATAATTGATTTTACAGAAAGCAAAGTTATCACATTTTTATTAGAATTTGAAGTGTAGTTCAAACAAGTTGTTAATTTCGTGATAAGCTTATCAATGTTTTACCGGCTTTTCCGGCGTAAGACGTGTTTTTATTGGGTTTAAGATTAAAAAAATATTTGTTATTTATTTAAAAATAAAATACCATGTCGGGCGAAAGTTCTAATTCTAATGGTGATAGAAAAGTGGCACTCATTACAGGAATAACAGGACAGGTACGTAAGACTTCGATAATTACAAACACTTCAAAATTTACACAGTATTATAAATGTGTACGATTTTCAACAATAACTGGCTGTACAAAAAAACCTTACCAGCATTAATACTCTCTCATGTAATAAACTCAAAGATTCAATTCGTTTTATTTTGAACTGAAATTTACTTTTTATCTCTGATGTATTAAGTAGCACAAATATTAATTTTTTTAGACACAAAATATTTATACACAATATAAAACATATTTTTTTAGGATGGTTCCTATTTAGCTGAATTTTTAATAGAAAAAGGTTATGAAGTGCATGGGATTTTAAGACGTTCTTCATCATTTAACACTGGTCGCATACAGCATCTTTATGGTCAGCCAGCATGCCATACTGGTGGGAAAATGCACCTTCATTATGGTGACCTCACAGACACTACCTGCCTTATTAGTATTATTTCTAAGGTAAGTTAACTTAAACAAACATTAAGCCTTTAACAATTAAGCTGTTTAAGGCCACTCAAAACCCGTAACTAATCTTGAAAAGATTATGGTTTTCTACTAAATGTCAGTGGAGTTGGCAATACTCGGATTTAAAAGTTGAATCCATGTAAATTTTTAGTACCGGATGGATAGTTTAAATATAGAATTACCTTACACAGTTAAATTCATGTAGAAATATGCTAAAATACTGGTATATAACATCTTTATATACCAGGTTGAAAATAATATTGGTAGTGATATATTTTGTATTTAATTTGTAAATATAACTAAAATCAATATTGCAAGACTGTTTGTATAAGTGTAAAAAACATGAAAATGTGATAAAATATTTTAATTAGATTGTCTATGCCTTAAATATGTAAAATCTCTTTTACATATGGTAATTACTTTTAATCTATTGTAAGTCAAATAGTATTGTTATATCTAATGACATATATTTACTATCCATTTACATAAAATATGTAATATACATAAGTAGAAACATTTATCTTACTTCTTATATTATAAATGCAAATGTTTAGGTGGATGGATGTTTGTTTGAAGGTATCCCCAGAATGGATCAATGGATCTGGATGAAATTTGGCATACATGTAGAAAATAGTCTGGAAGAACACATAGGCTGCTAATTATGTTTATTTTAATTCCGCGCGAACGGAGTCGCGGGCGACAGCTAGTTGTTTATAAATATTTCCATAAAAAAAACATAGACGTTACTACTTATTTTCTAGTATATTTTGGTTTGTTTTACTAAGTAATAAATGTTTTAGTAAATTTACCACAAAGAAAAAAATAAATGACATTCCAAACGTAATTCGCGCGCAAATAAAGATTTACAAAATGGCGGACTAAACACAAAGTTTTATGCTCCCATTGTAATACAATGTTTAGTATTGCATAGCGATAGTGGCGTTGTTTATCTTTTTTATTCGTTGTTACATCTGGCTCCGACATACGAACGTGATAGTTGTTTTGTAATTATGTTATACAAGCCGAGGTATGAACACGAGGTACGAGGTATGTACTCTCAAAGTAACTCTGTCTCGCTTTCACGCCAAAACTACTGAACCGATTAAAATAAAATTTGTTACACAGATAGTTTAGAGCCTGAGTAACTACATAGGCTATTTTTTAACGCGAAAAAGTATTGGAAATTTGTATGGAAGTATAATCATTTACACAGAAGCATAAAACTTATTTTTTAGGCTGTAAAAATGAAATGCAAAGTTTATAAAAGTTTTGTACCCTTGCAGCCTATAACACTAGGAAACAGGGAATAAATGTTTGTATCGGAATACGTAAAATATGTGATAAAAAGGTAACTAACACTAGCTATACCCGCGACTTCGTTGATATGTGTTAACGATTTCTTAATGTATTCGATTTAAGGCAATTCAGCGAACATCAAAAATGTATAGAACTGACAATACTGACTTCCGATATGTCATGTGATTGTCGTGGGTCCATTTCATACATTTTTAAAATTCGTTATGGAATCGTCGTAGTGTTTGAATTACCGACATTCTATAATTGCTATTAGATTTATCGCGTTAACTATCGATAAGATTATCAATACATAAACATTTAAAACGATTAGTAATGTTATAATTGAAAATGAAAACCTTTTAATTGAGTTCCAAGTATTACGATAGGCATCTGTATTTCATATTAGCTGTGCCGGCGTGAAATACAATATTTGAACTGCGCGTGGTACTGGACAGTACTTGGACATTGCAACATTACTTTATTTTTGTAAAATAAAAGTTTTTTTTTATAAAATAAACGTAGCCAAAGTTACTGCTTTTTATATCAGCTACCTGCCAATAAAAGTCCCGGCAAAATCGGCCCAGCCATTTCAGAGATCAGCCGGAACAAACAGACAGAACAGAAACAGAATTTATATATATGAACTAAAAAACGCTTATTTCAATATTATAAACTGACACTCCAATAACATTTATATGTGTTGTATTCATTTAATCAGTGCATGTAGATTCAAGGCGCCATTTTGTTCAGTAAATACTCAATAAATGCTCTACTTACGACACCAAACTTTACCGTTATTACAATGTCATGTACGAATAACAAATATACCTATTTTAAACAAGTTTCTATTTGACTTTCCAAATTTTTATTTTTAAAAACTATCTCGTCGCCTGCGCTGAATTAAAAAAGAAGCTTAATTAGTAGCCAGTTTGTTCTTCCAGACTAACTTCCACGTCTATGTTAAATTTCAGCGAGATCCATGCAGAGGTTCTGGAGCTATGTAGATATACCAAACATTCGCATTTATAATATTAGTAAATTATAACTTTCCAACAAAATATTCCATTTTAAATCGACACACATAAAGTCGCTGGCCACACCTAGTTAAAACTTATTTGAATAAGTTCTTTTCAGACACGTCCCAAAGAAATTTACAATCTAGGAGCTCAATCACACGTGAAAGTATCATTCGAACTGAGCGAGTATACAGCACAAGTGGATGCTCTTGGTACTTTAAGGTTGTTAGAGGCGGTCCGCGTGGTCGGCTTAGAGAAAGAGACCAAGATATATCAAGCCTCAACATCTGAATTGTACGGGAAGGTGATTGAAGTGCCACAGAATGAAAAAACTCCGTTCTATCCAAGGTCACCGTACGGTAAGTTTTGATTACCCACACATTTGATAGTTATTCATTTATTTTTTTGATAACGCGCGGAATTATAAAAAAAACTTAGTAGCCTATGTGTTCTTCCAAACTGTGTTCTACTTCTATGCCAAATTACAGCGAGATCCATGCAGCCGTTCCGGAGATACCTTCTAAGAAAGATCCATCCATCTAAACATTCGCATTTCTAATATTAATAAGAAAACTTGATTCATGAAATTTGTCAATAACTACTACGAAGTACTTTAACACATTTCCAGCATGCGCGAAGCTTTATGGTTATTGGATAGTGGTGAACTACCGCGAAGCGTACGGTATGTTCGCCTGCAATGGAGTTCTTTTTAACCATGAAAGTCCGCGCCGAGGAGAGAACTTTGTAACTAGAAAGATTACACGAGGCGTCGCCAAGATAACACTAGGTCTTATGTCTTGTCTGGAACTAGGCAATTTGGATAGTAAACGAGATTGGGGACACGCGAAGGATTATGTAGAGGTGAGGTATTTTTTACATATACGCTTTTAATGACGTTTTTTACTATTTTTATTTAGTGGATGTAATCATCAATCAAAGGTCTTCATAGTCATTTAAAATTGAGTTGCGTAGTCGTCGTAGAACATATTAGCAACATCAAGAAAATAACCTAAACATTTTAGGCGATGTGGCTGATGCTGCAACAAGAGCAGCCTGAAGACTTCGTGGTAGCGACGGGTGAGGCGCACAGCGTACGTGAGTTCGTGGAAGCTGCGTTTGCTCACGTGGGGCGCGCGGTGCAGTGGCGGGGGGAGGGGGTGGACGAGACGGGACACGACGCTAACACCGGGGATATACTCGTTAGAGTCAACCCGAAGTACTTCAGGCCTACTGAAGTTGTGAGTATACTCAAAATCACATCGAATCATGTCATAATAAAGTCTGTACAGTCTAGTGCATAGAACAAGTATTTTCACGTCTACTTTAAAGCTAGCTCTTGATAAATAAAGACGTGCTAAGTAAAATTTAAAGCTTGATTCAATCGTCAGCTTTTATTTGCGCAAAAAATGGACTCTTAAGTGTTTAATATTTTTATAGAAATTCATTTAAAATTAAACAATGCAAAATGGATTTCATATCATTATAACAAAAAAATAGGTTTTTTTTTATTTTTTCTTAGCTTTACATGAAATTCTACTTATTTATTCTTATGAGACTATCAATAGTGGCTAATTAATACGAACTTTCAGGATCTCTTGCTGGGCGACTCCAGTAAAGCTAAAGAGAAGTTAGGTTGGACCCCCAAGGTGACCTTCCAGCAGCTCGTCAAGGACATGATGGACGCCGACCTGGACCTCATGAGGAAGAACCCGGAAGCCTAATATGGATTATAGATGTAATATTTTTTATTTATCGTCAGCGCTTGAGTTGGCACGTCGAGCGGTAGAGAAATAGAGTTATCGACGTGTCAACTTAAATGCTGGACACTATTAAGTGTTATTGAATATAATATAAGGATATCTGTTTTATTTATATTAAAATACTTTTATTTAGAAAAAATCATGAAAATGAAATTATGTTTAATGTTGTAACCGAATGGGTTTTAATTTTTTTTTTCTAAATTTAAATTTTAGTTTTTTTTACTAATATATTTTGAATTATTACACAATGTTGGCTTCCCGTTTTTTATAACTACGTAAAGAACAGTAGTAATCCCAAAGAAAATTAACTTTGCTTGTTAAAGTGAACTAAATATAGAAATTATTATATACAAGGAATGTATTTTATAATTACAATAAACTTTATTTTAAGTAAGTTTATTTTATAATAAGTAATATTATTAGCACAAAATATGTTTATGTTTTAATAAAATAATGCGATTATGTATATATATTATGTATTATAATAGGTTATCACAAGTTTTTTTGATTTGCAACTTATTCACCGATTTGAAAAAATTTAAAACATATAAAAATATGCACTTGTTTAGATATCTTAAAAATGGCCAGTAAACATTAAATTTAGGTTTCCTTATAATTGTAGCAAAGATTATAATCAACAACCTGATTATCCTTGAAAAAATTAAGTTAATACTTTCAGGGCTACCGAGTCGCTTAAACTCGGAATCAAAAAATGTTAACATCATTGAATGTGTTGGCAATATGACATCTACTTGCCCGTTTACTTATGTAATGTCTGCAGATTACACTACTAAACATGTGTAAATCACCATCGCCATATACCACATTTACCATTGGTTTCTGAGACGAAAATCTATGTATGAAATATATCGTCTTCCCTGTCATCTTAGAAAAAACATGGATGTTTTAATCGGAGATTTTGGTCTCGGAAACCCACGGTTATTCTAATTTTGTTATTTTTTGCTTTGTTTATGAACATTCCTTAAATGTATTTCTTTTGAATAATGTCATATATTTCATCATCAGCTCACTATACGTCCCATCGAGGGTCTCGGCCATAGTCAACCACGCTGGACAAATGCGGGTTGACTTCACACATATCTTTTGAATTTCTTCTCAGATATGTGCAGGTTGCATCACGATGTTTTCCTTCACCGTAAGAACGTCGGATAAATGTACATGTGTAAATCGGAAATCGAAAAACACATTGGTACATGGCGGGATTCGAACCCAGGACCTGCAGATTGCAAGTCAAATGCTTGACCACTGAGCCACCGACGCTCTATTGTATTTATGACATATATAGATTATTTATTTATGCATTATCATTTTATAAAGCAATAAATATTTTATTCGTTTAATTTTTTTTATTGAAAGTCCTTTGATATTAAGTAAATTAAAACAAAAATATTGAAAAATAAAACTACAGTAAAATCAAAAGTATATTTATTTACATCTATACAAAACTCTAACATAATATTGAATATATTTAAACGCCATTATGACATTTGAAGCGCGCGTTTGCACTGTCGAAACATTGACATGTTTCGTGTAATTCCACAGTGGGACAATATTCTTCATTTTAAAGATAATAATAATAAAAAAAATTGAAGTAGATAACACCTCGGTGCATTTTTAAATTATTAAATAAAACGGGCATTAAAATAAAAATAGAAAAATTATAATATGGCATGACGGGCAAATTAAAAATTAAAAAAAAGAATTTAAATAAAAAAAAAATAATTTATAATTAAAAAATATCTGTAAATTTTTGCTGAAAGCAATTATTTAAATTATAAAATTTTTCATCTTTATGGCTCATTGGGTATTATTAAATTAAAATTGTCATACTTTGATTTAAAAACACTGTCGACAAACGTTAACATAAACTTAAGTTTCCACTGCTGCAACTCAATCTCTTTAGTAGATAAAAACGTGCTTTTCTACAAGTATTTCAGTGAAAATTCAGATTAGATCTAACCAGCGAATACCTAACATAAACAAATACATTAATTTGTACTTTTAAGGTCCATTAAGCTTTCATAAACTCCAAGTAACTTCGGAACATCTGTATATAAACAGTACAAATTGAAGCTCGATTTTTGAATCTGTATTTTTGAAGTTTAATTTATTATTTACAGTCAAACATCGAGAAGCTAGTTTCTTAGGGACAGGTTTTTTTTCTAACCTGAATATATCCCTTAAGAAGGCCATCGGGACTCGCATAACAAAGTTTCTAGCTTATCCAGCTTATCTGAGGTTATTTTTATGATTTTAAGCAAAAACCTTGGAATTCTACTCGGTGACAGTTGGGTTGACACATATTGAAAAACCAGAGACAATATCAAATGTCAAACAAATGTAAACGATAGTCGGATCCAATTGTAAAAATTACAAATAAAAAACTCTTCAATTCATATTAATTGGGAGCAGGGATTTAAGTCACCAGTGACTCTGGCCCTAAATTACGTTGAAGGTTTAAAAAAAATTAAAACAATATATTTTTCTCCAAATCAATCCTCTGACGTAAAACTCCACCTAATATGAACTCGGGATTGACTATGATTGCACCCTTACGTTTAAGTGAGGGCCAGAGAGCTTTATCTTCGATTGTGGATACACAAACCCATTGTGACCCTCCCTCTTTCCAAGTCCCTCCAGAACATTCAACGATCACTGAAACATTAACATTGATAACTATTGTAATGAGAAGATAAGTAAGCAAATTACTTCTCTATCAAAAGGAAATTGGTATAATTTTTATTCATAAGGGGAGAAAAAATGCAGACCACAATAGATGCCAGCTTGATCAAGAGTGATAGTAGCACTAAATATACCATAGATATACAAAAAACATTTTATATACAAACTCTATGGATTGCAGTTTTAGCAGCGACTCCTGTCAAATTTCACTTAAAGAAAACAAAAATAAGTAATTTTTTAAGATAGTTGAAACGCAAATTATAACAAAAAAAAATCCAGTTGTGGATGTATTCCGGCGCAGTCAACAAGCGATTCATTTTTTTTTTAATCGCGAGAATAACGTATAAAATGTTGACAGCTGACAGCCTACTTTTGGCGGGAACGCCACCTAAATACAGCTTTCAGTTTTATTCTCCAATGATGTGTCGCGATTATAGTGGAAATTACCGTAATTATCTTCGATTCGACAAATTATGGCACTGTAATAAAAAACAGACTTACATTTCATCTCATTAGCTCGTGGCTCGACTTTGGGCGTGGAGGAGACGTTGTAACCCTTGAGAAAGTTCCTCTTGCCGGTCAGCGTACGTGCTAAGTCGAAGTCAAACCGAATCTCTCTGGGCTCGTCTTTCAGTAGGTACAGCCATGGGTCTGAAGTCAGGTCACAAGTAGTTAATCGAATCGCTATTTAATAGATCTTTTTATTCTATCCAAATAGTTTAGACGTTTGTTAAAATAGTTTAGATAAGAAAAATGGTTCAAGGTAAACCTAACCTAACTTTCAGGGAGATAGGCAGAGGCAAGAAGACCAAATTAATTGTAGTAGGTACTATAAACCTAACTTATGTCATCGATTGGGTAGCCGATCATTTGCCCATTATAGCTATCATACTCAGACTAAATGTTTAAACTTAGTGTAGATTTAAAGATCAATTATCGACTTGATTGTAAATTTGGTACACAAAACTCACCGACAATCATATTAGCATCACGACAAGCCTGTATCCAAGTCTTGCCTACAATAGGTTTGCCCAGCCCGACCGCACACAACAATTTGAAAGTCCTTTTTAATTCCACAGTGCACACGACAGTACAAGTATTTACATCTGTCACTATAACTGCATCTAGAAAATTTATAATTAATTAAAAAAAACACAGAGTAACACTGGAATTGAACAATTTAGGTTAGATTAGCGGAGAGAAATACAAACATTTGGGTAAAAACTATCAAAACAAATATTAAAATGTTTGGATTCGGCTGCATGAATCTCGCTGAAATTTGGTATAGGTGTAGAACATATCCTGGAAGAACACATAGGCTACAAATAAAATTGTTTTTAATTCCGCACGGACGGAGTCGCGGGCGACACATAGTTTAGTAATTAAAATATAAAAAAATGACTTACTAAGTTTTTCCAATAGATTATACAAGACGTTTATATCTGGATGTGAAAATGCCGTGAATAAAACTTTGTGATTTATATTTTTTAATACAGTTTTTCGTAACGATCTCCTCTCTGTACTGGATGTGGCTTCAGATTTATTCATATTTGTAGTAACATCCTCTTTTAAAGATGATTTAACACTTCTAGGAGAACTTGATCTTGATTCATCGGATAATCTGTATATAACACTTTTTTCTCTTTCGTAGTTTGATATTTCATTGTCTACTTTCTTATTACTTCTTGTTTTCCTTGTATTTTTTATTTCTGTTTCAAATTCTTTCTTAATTTTTTGTCGTTTACTTCTCCTTACTTCTTTTTCAGGTAACTCTTGTTTTTCTTCTTCGTAGCTACGTTTTCCTTTATCTTTCATTATGCAAACTTTAATAATATCTTTCTTAGGTTTACTTTTATCATCTTCATTTCGCTTTATTCTAGCACTTCGTTGTCTGGTTTTATTAGTTTTTGATGTACCCGAGATTTCTTCTTGCTTTGTTGAATCTAAAGTATCATTTTTTTTTAATTTACTTAAATGTTTCGTATCAGTTCTGCTTCTTTTTGTGTTTTGATCTTTGTTATTTTCAGGACTTTTATTTTTTTGTAGAACACTAGCATCTGCTTTTTCTAATTTTGCTGTTTGGTCTTTCTTTGTTAGCGTGGACTTTGTACTATCATTTTGATTTGATTTTTTCTTTTCTTCTTTATTCTTTGTATTTTTTATTTTGGATATATTAGCTGCAATAATTTCTTTATCAACAATTTCATCATGTTCTCCAAAAATTTTAGGCGCAAGTATATTTTTAAGTTCGGAATTATTTTCCACTTTAGCTGTAGGTTTCCTTTTTCTAGTAATCGTTCTCGAAGGAAGATTTTCTAATTCAAATTTCTTTGTCAAATCTAGTTTAGTGTTTTTAATTCTTTTACGCTTGTGGAATAATATCGGTGTATTTTGTTCTGATATATTATCCTCTGAGTCGCTTAACGATTCCATAACGATTGCTTTTGAATTAAACGTTATACTTTTTACGATTTCTTGACTATTTGGTGGTTCAGTAATCATGAATGTTATATTCTTTTGGGAATTATCTGGAGTACTTTCAACATCAGAGTTACTTCCACTTTTATGTTTTAATTTCAGTTCAATGTCAACATCCATTTCTTCATTTTCATTTGTAACAAAGTTATCAACTTTTGACTCTGTATTTATTTCTCTCTGAGAGCATAAATCATTGAATACATCTTGGGTTGCTGTATAAAACTTTTCTTCATCATCATCACAAATGTTTGGAATATTTCTAATGGGAGTATTTAAAAAGTTATTAGTCGTTTCTTTTCTTTTTATACTTTTAATGGACTGGAACGGGACTTTAAATGGACTTTTTTCTTTGCAAGATTCATTTTCTTTTAATATTTCTTCTTTAGTTGTCACCGTTATCACTTGGGTAGGTAAATCTTCGAAACTAGGTGCAATGGGATTTTTTAAACTATCGTTTTCATTATTCACCACTTCAACGACTTGTGTGAGCATATCTTCGAAATTCAAATCATCTGATGTTTGAACTTTTAAATCATCTGATTCATTGGTTTTATTTGTGTTTTGTTTAATTGAATTTATTTCAGATATTTTTATATTATTTGGAATAGAGGTTGCTTTGACTTTGTCATTGTCATGATTGTCATATAAATCATCTTCGCAATCAGTACTATCTTCGTCTATGTTTAGATTTTTATTAGAAGAAGTATTAGGCATATCTTCAGAGGTATTATTTTGATTTATGGTGGGAATTTTTTGTGTAAGTAACATATCATCATCATCACAATCTGTGGATCCTTCAGATTTATTTTCGCATTGTTCTAAAAAATTATTTTCCTCATTAATATTAGTTTCTATGGACTTTTCACTATTTAAAATTGAAACATTTTCTGGACTTTCTGTTGTTTTTTCAAATAACAATGGCTGAGATGCAAAGTCTTCTTCTAATGGCTCCATATCAACTTCCTGAAAGAGAATTTCTTCATCAGATGTACTAAGTCTAGCTTTAGACGGTTCTTCATCATTTGATATTCCTGTATTTTTACCCTTGACTTCATTATCATTGATTACTTTTACTTGTTGTGTATCTGCATTGTATATACTATTATTATTTTCTTTGTTTTCGACGTACGAATCGATTTCTTTTACATTTATTGTGTCATTTTTTGTTTTTAAAATTAATTTATTAGATTGCAAGGAGTTGTTGACACATAATTGTGTGTCAGCAGTATATAAATCATCAGTGTCTTCATTTGTTGCAGGAAAAGGGATTTGTGTTTCCATTTCATGAATATTATCCTCTACTCCTGCAGGATTTATAGGACATGGATCAGTATCTGACTCGTCTAGATTCATGTCAATGGACACTGATTTTTTTGAAGAATTCCAATATATATTGTCAATTTGCTTACTTCCTATCGGTTGTATGGAAATTGTTTTGCCAAATGATTTTATGTATTTCTGTGAAGGGCTTTTAAATACGTCACAATTTTTAGGCTGTGATGGAGCAACAAAAGAGTCATCCTGCAATAAAATAATTAAACTAATATTTACTTAACACAAACAATTTAAAAGATTTTGACTGATTGGTCCATTGTGGCAATCATCATTCATCTCCCGTATCCCATTTATTTGTGGTCCTTCCTTGTTCTAATTCTCCAGACAGTTTGATTTTTGGAGTCTAGTTAGTCAAGGTCAATCTTATGTTACTTATTATTTTAACAACTGCAATTTTTTTTTAGTAATTTTAGCAATAGCAAACAGTTGGATTAAGGGCCCGATACAAAACGCAGTTATCCTAGTAACCGCATGGTTGTTTGAGTCACGGGACTCTGCAGCCGATGGTGCTCTATTTTTAACCCATTAGTGCATAAAGTTTATTAACGCGTTTTTCATTATATATATTTTCATTTCGAGTGTATTTGACCACTAAATTGTATGAAATATTTAATCAATATGAAAGTTTAGATTTTATAGCCCGTTCGATAAATTACTTCCCAGAATGTCATACCAACAGTATTACCACTTCAAATATATATTACACTACTGTTTAAAAAAATAAACTGTTAGTAAAATATATATCTCCTAAAATAACAATTTTATTGGCGTCCGATTTATCGAACGTTATGCACAAATGGGTTAATATAATATATTTTGTATAATTTTTCGTGATGAAATGTAATATATTAAGAATAAGATTAATAAATGAATAAGAAATTACATACTTTGTCACTGACATCCGGAGATTCAGGTATAACTGTATTTGGAAAATTAATTAATTTTGATGAATATTTATTAGTAATTGGTGTGTCTGGTATATCCAAAGCTTGAGTCATTGGTAGATCATTCTCATCTTCAAGCAACCTGAATACACCAAAGATCTGTCCAAATTGTAGTGTATCACCATTTCTTAGTGGATGAGCTATGTATGGTTGAAGAATTTTCTAGAAAAAAACAAAGAAAACACTTTACAAAAAAGGCTTTCATATTTTTCTATACACAATGTAATATATAATATTATAAATGTGAATGTTTGGATGGATGGATCTTTGTTTGAAGGTATCGCCAGAACGACTGAAAGGATCTCAATGAAATTTGACACAGATTTAGAAAATATTCTGGAAGAACACATAGGCTACTAAGTTTATTTTTATTCTGGATGGACGGAGTCCTGGGCGACATGTAATGTTTTAATAAATAAAGTATTTAAGTTAAAAAGATAACTTACTTCAAGTAATTTTGTTTTGTTTGCTGAACCCAAATCCATAATCATGTATTCTTTCGAATTTAAAATATTTATAACAGCATGTTGTCTGGAAACTGACTATAATAAAAATAAAAAATAAACAAAAAAATGACTATCAATTTTTCATACTGGCAGCTTTGATGCCATTTCTTATTTTTCTTGCTGAAATTTTTTTTTTTACTTCATTATAATAGGTAACATTTCTCATTTTTATTGCAAAGCTTATTTATAGGCAAGTGTCATTGTTAGGTCTCAAAGGACAACTTTCATAACCAAATCAAGAGAGAAACCTCTATACATTCCCTAAGACTGGCTTATCCAGGCTCAACTGTAGTGCTAAAGATTAAACATCACATGTATAAATTAGTTCCCATTAACTTCTTGGCAAGTTCACTTTATAACAAATTTATTGTAGTAGCATAGAATGTGTTGAATTTTAAAAATCTGAATTCTCATAATGATTTTTTTAACTATACTTACATTTAAGTTTAAGACAATTTCACAAGTTTCCGGGTCTCTACCTATTTTGTTTGGGCCTTTCCTTATTGGATATTTTGCGCCACAAATGCCTAAGAATCCAATCTGAAAACAAAAGTGGATTTTAGGTAAATATTTTGTGATCAAATAATTATACTTCATTTTTTAATTGATGCTGGTGGTTCATAAACATATGTTTTTTTTTAATATTTAAAATGTAACCACCCAGATTATTTCACTTTCAATTTATATGCTTGTAAACAATTTATATATTTTATACACTTAAATTTTAAATAATATTTGTACCTGTTCAGGAATTATCCTCTCTTGAGGATTCTGATATATCTCTTGCGTACATTCAATCCTCTGCGTACACTCCATTATGCATTTATTTTGAAAGTACACTAACATAAATTATTATTAAAACATAGTTATTGAGTAGAACCACTATAAAAAGTGCCGTAAATTATATAAATAGAGATCATCAACTTTAAACAACACGATAAACAAACCGTAGCCATAGATTTTCAGTGACAGTTGAGATGAGATTGACATTTACTTTCCCATGCCTGTGCCATGGACAAGTTAGGTATAATTGTTTGTATAAAGGTAACCAGACTGCTAGCCAATTACTGTTTTGATTTTTAAATAAGAATTGGAATTTAAAGTTACTAAAAGATTCAGTAATTCAGTTATTACAATAAAGTTACTTTGCTTTACCGAACACTTACATAGAATTCATTGAAATACAAAATGTTCGTTTGGTTTTACTGTATTGATGACCACAGAGCACTGACAGCTGACAGTTTTATGAAGAAGCGGTGCGAGGTGCAAACTGAAGCAATTTTGAGAATTTTTTGGGAAATGTCCAGCCCTACGCGCGGAATAGTTGACTAATATTCTTTAAAATACTATAATTTTTTTATTTCTTTAAATATAGATATTTCCTTTGAATGTTGTTTTTTTTAGTGCTTGATGGTATTATACAGGTAAAAATATAAGGTTAAAGTGATTGATTTCTAGTGTTTTAATTTATAATGAAATCTCCTAAAGAAGACGAAATATCGGATGAGGATATTCCGAGCGACTTTTTTGATGATTTTAATAAAGAAGAATTTATGGAAGGTCTCAGTGTAATAGACAGTTGGGATGTGAAAGAAAAGCCACAATCCAGACGTTCGAGATCTCGAATTAACGCTGCCGCAATTGATGGCGTTAGCGACCTCCGAGAACTGATCGGCGATAGCAGAGAAGACATGGCCGCTAATGATGACGCTGTTATGCTTGATCAAAACACGACAGCCGAACGGCGCGAGTCGACCAACCAAAGGTATTCTAGTAATAGCGGCCATAATGCTCATTCTAGCCAACTAGACGACTGTATAAAGCCTGGAAGTCGTCGAGATCTCCGTAAAACTAACGAAGCTATTAAGAAAGATAAAGCAATGAAAGTCAAAGAATATTTAAGTAAACATCTAGACTCGATCGAGGACCCGAAGCCCCCTGGAACTGAACTTGATGACTTTCTAAATGAACCTCCCACACCTTCAAAACGAAAAGCCCGATCACGAAGTCGTGAAAAACACTCCCGACATTCAAGCTCTAGAGATGCCAAGTTTTTGAAATCTCCCAAAAGAGATTATCAATTTAAAGATAAACGAATTTATTATAATAATAGACATTATGAAAATCAGCATGGACACACGTATTTTAAACCCTATAACAAATTCCATCATCAAAACCTAAATTGGAGAAAAAACTATCATTACAATTACAACTATTCAAGACCAAGTGGTAGAGATGGACATAGTCCAGGATTTCGCAAAAATTCTAGATATAGTCCGCTTCCAATGGGACCCCGTGGAAGAAGTCCTCGACGACGCAGCCCACGAGGACCCAGCCCACAAGGACCCAGCCCCCGTGGACGCAGCCCCCAAAGACGTAGCTCACGAGGTCGCAGCTCAAAAGGACGCAGCCCACATCGGTACAGCCCACGAAGAAAGAGCCCACGTTGGCGCAGCAAAAGTCGTTCACCGAGGTCTCCAAAATATAAATATAGTGATAAAAGAGCATCAATGGAGCGGAAAGATCCATTTTTGTATCCAGTTGAAATGCCACAATTACCAGTTCCATTTTCAAATAGTGAGGTGGAAACTAGGCATGAAGAGTTTTATGGGGATCATCATTTAACTGAATATCCTTCAGGAGTACCAGGGTATCCTTATATGCAAGGACCTTTTACTAGTGCCAGTTTTGATTATGGAACAGCAGCAGATACTATGAACCTTGGATTGTCACAGCCTACGCCGGCACTGATGATGACTGCAACTCCATCAATGGTTCCTCCTCCCATTGAAAGCAGCATAGCTATTGCACAAGCACCTCCTGTTAGTGTGCCAACTTCAAATGAAAAACCGTATGATGCATTGGCTAAAGTAATTATAGTTAGTTATTTAAACAAAATATTCTTTAGTATTTACATTTATTAATAAAAAATCAAATTTCAGTTGGTTGTTGAAGGCAAGCTTTCTAAAGAGGACTATCTGAAGTTGGCCCCAAATAAAGGTGAGGCCAAATTCATAAATATTTATTAAAATTTCTATGCTGATTAATGGAGTTTTATGGTATCTCACTAATATGATATTTTAAATATTAACTCCGGGTTTTATGATGAAATCGATTGTGTTTATTTCAGGTACATTTATGGAGAAGACTACAGCTACACAAATCAGAGTAAAAGGTGGGTTATAGATTCCTTCTTTATCTAATCTATGACTTACATTTATCAAAGAGTAAAAAATGCTTTTTATTTTTTAATAGAATATATTTGATTTTTTTTAATTTTTCTAGTCAAGGTAACTGCACTATGTTACATTTGTATGTTATTGAAGATTTTTCAGTGCTCTAGCTAGTGAGAAGGTGTCAAGGTTGATAAGTTATATTTCCCATAAAAATGAATTTTGGTTCATTTTAAATCTGTCCAAAGTGTTATGTTCTCATATCTATGTTTTGCGTTCACAGTGTTAGACCGCTGCCTCCAAGCTTTGACTAAACTTAGTAAGTTAGAAATGCCAAATCGTTTATTCCTAAACAATGCCCTTATTGAACAAGAACCTAAGAGCTTAACTCCCAAATATTGCTCTCCATTGAAGAGGCAAGCACCTGTGGATTTTTACTTCACAAAAACTGATTGTGAATCGGAGACAGTGCGGAAAAATAGACAAACTATTGATACAATAATTTCAACAATAGGGTTAAGTGAAATTGTTTTGCGCTCAAAAAAGAATAACAACAAGAATATGGCTGATGCGGCAGTTCAAACGACGAATCCGTTTTGCGAAGTGTGTTATATACGTGAAAATACGAAGACCAATAATGCTGAGACTTCAATTGATTTTGAAAGTTTTACATCTTCGGTGCATACTCAAGTTGTGGATGAAGATTTGCTTAATTCCAAATCAGTGTTTAATCCAAGTGGTGGTGCCGGCAACCATGAACATATTTCAATAGCGCATCTTACTCCCGCTCAACTGGTGTCTCAACTCGCGGCCCGTGCGAAGACTTTGAAGCAATCCCAGCCGCAACGTTCTCAGTTCAACAGGCGAGCTCCGGGAAACAGCTACGACTATGGAGGTGGCAGTAAAGATGACAACTTTTACAAGTTTTCTAATCAATAAAGTTTAATTCTATTATTGTAAACGTGAATTTACACTGCCTAAACACATGTACTAAAACATTGTTCGTCATCCTCATATTCTTTGAAAAAAAAAAAGAGATGACTATGTTTTTGTGCACGTGTTTCAGCAATGGAAACTCATAGTCAAGATGTTATAAATAATGTAATAGCTAATCTGTATTAACTGCGCACTAAAACTTTTGTTTTTATAATTTTTAGTCTTCGGTAGCGGGAATCGGTAATTCCAATATTCCTCTTGGAAACCTTATGGGGGTTCAAATATGGATCTGGTACTTAGGTTTTTTTCATGGAGGATATAATTTAACTTTGTCCTTGTATAATTTATTTGTTTATACAATAGATAGATTTTTCAACAAAACTTTTTAATATTTATGTATAATAAAAACTGTGCTGAGCTGATTTGAGTGTAAGGAAAAGAAGAACCAAAAAAGTCCCATAATTCAAGTTGCAAATTATTATAATACAACGCGGATGAAGTCGCGGGCAACAGCCAGTGTGTTATAAAAGAAGAAAATGAAATACAAATACCGGTTTTGATTTTTACATGAATAATGAATGCAAGAAGAGTCAGTACGAGTTGCTACTGCGATGTCGTCATCTGAAGAGCCACAACGAGTGATCAAGATGGACTTGCTTCAATTCTATCACAGAAAGCCGTTACTATTTCAAGGATTTGATAACAATTAATAAAGGTTTTAAAGCATTTATTAGTATTAAATTAAACTGACAGTACTAAAATGCTTTGAAAAGCTACAATATTGCTGTAATGCAGATTGCAACGCATAGAAGTATTCCAATTCTTTTACCTTTGTACTATGAAAATATTATTTGTCCGTTAGCATGTTGATATGGCATTACTATACTGCGATTGTAAAATATTAAAATCTAAAAAAAAATATGTATATTGATGTTTACGTTTCCCTTGAATCTATCCTAGAATGTAAAAACATTGTAATTATAACTTTTTTTTTAAATTGTAAATTAGAAATCCCTTTACGTGTAATTTGTGTTGTACTGTTGATACTATGTCAAATATAGATTTAAATAAAACCAGTGAACTTCTTATTTAACAAGTGACAAAACTATACTGCATAATGTGCGGGTAGGCACATATTATAGACCATAGTTTGCATTTGTTTACATATTCCTTTTGCACATATTTTCTTTTGAATATCCTTTGTTCTTATCATATACCCTTAACGAAGTTATCTTAGCATGTTTCCCGTGGTCGTTCATGTTGCTTTTATACCATGACTTTAAATTTCGATGTTGAAAAGTCCAAGTAACAAGAGCATGCTGGCGCACAAGTATAAATATAGAAGTGGCGAGAGGTGTGTTAGGGCTTGTTTTTGTTTGACTGTTTCGGCAATAGAAACCTGTTGTATGGTCGAGATCATTCATATTTGAAGGTGAGGAAGACAATCGCTTTACTTATATTGGCAAGGACATTACAAAGTAAGGCGCTCATGTTGATTCAATTTAAACAAATGACACTGGACGCATGATTTCTTTTTTTTTTTTGTTAAATAGATAAACAAATGGAATCTCATACATATGTAATTTTTTTAATAAGTGCTTTCTACTTCTTGAGAAGATCATTGATTTTTACGGGAAAGGACCAATCCATTACATAGAACTTGAACAGCAAAAGTCAAACTGCGCAACGATGTGTTTCTGCGATTGTAAAATAGTTGCTGAAGGAGCCTTCAATAACGACGTTGGCTTGTTCGTATCCAGCTTAGAAGACGACGAAGGAATTAACATCAAGAGAGGGCGTAAACTGAAAAAATGCAGTTTCGTCGAGGGTGCAGCGAAGACAGAAAACCGTCATAAAGAAACCCGTCGAAAATCAAAAACTTTGATATAAGAATAACTTTTGTTACATCTGACTGAAATGACAATATTAAGTAATTTTTGTAAACACTTGTGTATAAATGGCATATTTATGTCTATCAAAAGATATCATTTTTTTGATTCCTAAAATTTTGAGTGTGTGGTTACCACATTTCTTTACGAATCAAAGCTGCCGGCAGTAGCACCTACACCGTACTTAAGTGGCGTATAATTCCTTTTGCTACCTAACTATTCCGGAGGCCTGGTCCTCTTTTACTTCTCGTCCTTGTAAAGAAGAATGAGAAGGGGAGGTGTATTTGTCGGAGAAAAGGACGCAGAGAAAGGGAAAATACCCGCTCTGCTTGCATCCCTTCCTCCGTCGATTAACAACACTGTAGTAGGAGCGGTCGCTTTGATATTTCGGCGAATTCAGGTGGCTGCTTGCTCTTTTACCACCTTAGGATATAAAAGACATGGTATCGTCATATTAAGTTTATTCAGACTGACGCTCATTCGTCAATATCAGGTGGATTTGGGGGACGAAAACCTGTTGTGCTGACTCCTAGTAAGCATAGAATGAAGACTGATAGATAATGTTATTGTGTTTTTGGTAAGTAAGGATTCCATGTTATTTAAATAACTTTTACATAAACAAAAAGAACATATTATATATTTGTGATCCTCCTTCAGACTGCAGCTACCGACTTATCGGCAATATTTGTCTTTTTCCAATTTTGGAATCTTCCAGAAGTGACGAGAAAGACAACAAAGACACTGAACATCACTTTCAATTACAAAGCGGGTACGTCAGGAGATCTTCTAATTAAAATTAGAACGAAGTAAAAATTTGAGGGTAGAAGCAAATTTAGATTTTGAAAATTATCTTCATATTTTTCGATATTGCAGGTGTCCCATATTCCCAATAGGGGTAAAGGCAGAGACATCGTTTGTGTTGTAATACAGTGGCATATGAGAAATGGGATACATAGCCTTTTTCCTTTTCTTAACAAACAGGAGGTAAGTCGAAATTTAAGAGGTAGAGAAAGAAAAAAATTACTGTTAATGTAAAATGGGAAGTTAATTACAAAAAACCAATTATTGCTGTGATACTTGGATTTCACTGTACGAAAAATAAACACTTTGAATATATTTATTGTTTTATTTCATACATCTTAAATACTTTTTCTTAACATCGCAGTTTAGGTTTTGTTATTGTTCATAATAAAATTCAATTTCGATTATCAAAATCATAACACTACTAAATTTTTAATTATATACACTATCATAAACTTACCTTTGAATATATAAGCGTATAAATATGAGTTGCGACATTTATAAGAATACACTTTTTATCTATATTAAAACATTTAGAACAGTCCTGACGAGTTAACTTTCATACGAAAAGATCGTAGTGGCGTAGGACGTGTTAATACCACATCTATACTAATATAAAGCGGAAGAGTTTGTTTAAACGCGCTTATCTCAGGAACTACTGGTGCTATTTGAAAAAATATTTTTTTGTTGGATAGTCCATTTATAGACTTTAGGCTTTATAACATTACGCTGCGACCAATAGTTTTTTTTAATTCCGCGAGGACGGAGTCGCGGGCGACAGCTAGTACTATATTTAAATACCCTCACAAAGAAGCAAATAAATATAATACAAAAAGTAGACTTACGAAGGATAAATATGTAATTAAAAAGTATAAGACTATTGGAAGACTATAATTTAGCCATCTAAGAAATCATCAAGCCATTTTTCAAGGTCTTCAGGTGATTCAATCACTGGATTCTTCGTTGGAGCCTCTTCCTTTACTGGACTGGTATCTAAAAATTATAAAAACACATGATGTACTGTTTATTTTAAATGACACTAAAAGAGTAAAAAAATTCCATGAATGAAAACATTAAAACTAGTAGCTAAATCCAGTCATTCTAGTACTAAACTAAAGTTCTAGGTAAATGGGTCAAGTTTTGTATCAAGGTCATGCATCCCCGTCTAATCAAAAGCAATTATCAATATGGAATCTTAATTATATTAAATAAATATTAATTATAATCAAGAAGGCAGTGTATCATCATCTCAAAGGCTGGCAACCCATCTGCGGTTCATCTGGTCTTGTAGATGATAATGGGAGTCAATGAACACCTCCGTGTTGCCATTGCTATTCTTATTAAAAAAAAATACTCACTTTCAATTACTTTCATAGCTGCTTTATTTACTGATGTTTGAGGTTCAGATTTTACTGGACTTTCTATTATTTTGTTATCAACAACAGCTATTATGTCATCAATATCGTCTGCATTTTTATCTACAGTTTTTTGTTTTATATTAACTTTTTCTTCTATTTCAGTAAATGGCTTTTCAGCTTCAATTTCCTTATCAAGAGTTTCAGGTTGTGTTTTAGTTAGATCAAATTTAACAGAACTGGGACTAGAAGTTATTTCAGTATTAGTAATTTCTTGGTTGTCTGTTTGGTTTTGGTTCTCAAGATTAGTAAAATCAATATCTTTTGTCACTTCAATTTTCTCTTCGGGCATATCTTTTTCATCTGATTCTCTTAATTTCTGTAAAATTCGATCTTGTGCTTCCATTTCTGGTGTCGTATAACTTTTATCATTATAGTACTTTTGTTTAAATTTTGTAGCTCTGTTATTCATATTTAAAATGTCCGTTTCACTGAATAATGTTTTATATACAAAATTCCTTTCGTAAAATGGTATTGTATACAAAGCTATGGCTAAATTGTCCATATCAATATCGAAATATTTATCATATAGAGATGGACCTGTAGTAATATCCCATGACTTTTCATGTTTGAATTGAAAATGTCCTCCAACTGATAATGGCGCTTGGATTAGAGCCTGGAAAGGATATTTTTAATTTTATATTATTCTCTTGTTTTGATACATTCACCAGTAAAGTAGTGTTAGGATGATAATCCGAAAATATGCCAGTGTATTGACTTAACACTAGCCTTACTAAAATGTCGATGTTTGTGTCCCGTCACTATTCATTCTGACACTGGACTTTGTAACGCAAGCATGTCATTCATGCCAAATGATTCTCATTAATACTGTCTAAAAGTAGTAATACCTATTATATCAAATTAACATATAGTTATTTTTATATTAAAGTTGAGATTAATACTTAAACTGACATGTGGCATCTTTATAAATTGAATATGAATAGGCTAAAGCTTATATAATTTAAATAACATGAGTGTTAGCCATGTTACATTAAGTTTGAAATGAATGTGAAATAGCCAAACAAGCATCAATAGCCCAATGGTTAAGGGTATGGATTTCCAATCATGAGGGAGTTTGAATCCTGTCATTAGACTATTGTCGTAAACCATATCCTAGCACAAGCATAGAGCTTAGTTCGAATGGTCAAAGATTTTTAAGAAAATAATTAAAAATTAAAATTTTTAAGAAAAAGAAAATTTTGAAAAAAATCTGCTAATATTTTATAAAAATAAAAAACCACTTCAAATATTGTTTTAAAAATTGTTAGTTGTTACCACATAAAAAATCTTGTTCTATACCTATTCCATATAAAGATCTTTTTACATATATTTAATTTGAATAAAATGAATAAATACCTCATAATCGGCACCCATGTTCTCCTGTTCTTCAATTTCATTGTAACTTTCAATTGGCATTTCATATTTAGCCCAATTACTTTGTATCTCCTTTTTCTTATACTTTGAGTTGGCTTCCTCCGTTATTTTGAGGATTTCATCTGTCTCCCTCTTCAGATTTTTATAAAACTCAGGCCCTGGAGGTTCATGGGCAGGGTTATCGGGAACTGGTGCTGAAAAAGAAAATTTTAGTTCAGATAAAATTTGTACTTACTATTAATAAACAGTAACCCAGACACACTTGAGGTTCCACAATAAAATAAAAAGCTTTTGAATTATGTTTCTGTGTTATTGATATTACTACTTGAAATCTTAGAATGTTATGGCAAACATACTGGTTTGAAATTCGAATTATTAACCATTTAGTTATTTTCTTAGAAATATTACCTGAAAAATTTACTTTAAAAAAAAATATTTGAAAATAAAGAGTTTGGAGTTCAAGCTTTACCTGCAGCAGGTTCGGATTCCTTTTGCACTGGTACTGGTAGATCTTTTGATGTTGGTTGTTTATTTTCTTTTTTTTCGACTTGCTTATCGTTACGACGTCTTGATCGTCTCTGTTCTTTTGGGTCATTTTTACGGCTAAAATGTACAGTTAATCGTCTAATGATATAATGGTTCAATTAAATAATAAAAACGTTAAAAGTTTGCTTTAATAGTGCACTTACTTTGATTTCTTATCCTCCGGCATAATTGAATATTCTCTAGGTAAACTATACAATGTAATCAAATTACTTTAATCTAAAGAGGATTTCTTGGAATTAAAGAAATTAAAGGTTTTACTTTGTAAAAGAAAATTGAATTACACTCCAGCTGGTTACTTCGTGTGATTTTTTTTCATTTAAATTTGACATTGACAAATACATTGAATTACAACTTTGACATTTGTGCCATACATCAACATAAAAAAACCCGTAAAACGAAACGTTTTGTGATTTCATTAAATAAATAATTAATTTCCGCTCTACACTCTTACTATTTGCTACACTTCTGATAGAGTTCTTTTTTGACTATTTTGCCAGTTAATCAACCTATTAAATAATGCGGTTTTGCAAAAATCAACTAACAGCGACATCTCACAGAAATTTTGAATTCAACAGTACATTTTGAATTTTTCATGTTGTAGCAAAAGATGTCGCTTTTATTTTTGTTTTTAATTGTATGGAACGCATGCATGTAAAATTCATACACGTATACGTATGAAAATTTTCTTTCAAATTGTGAGAGCAGGTCTCGTCATAACCACAATAAAAATATACCTTAAGAATACTTGACCTTCGGTGACATTTGGTTACACAATTTCGCCTGCAAATTAATGGTCAGGGTTTGAATCCTGGAATTTTGAATAAAGTATCAGAGAGCTTTCGAAACTTGAGTTATACTTACGATATTTGAAAATTATTACGATATATTCTGTCTGATCTCACACGCCAGTTTTACGCAAACTACTAATTATCGAGTAAAACACGAGAAGATTTAAAACCAAAAGCATGTAGGGGTCGTAAAACGCATTCATTGTTTATGCATATGTCGTCCTACGTAAACTTATTCTCGTTTCGGTCGCGCTTTGTACTCACACAATTATGACAAACAACAAAACTTACGACCACCACGGTCTGGGATCACTAAACCAGAATCGGATATACTGAACTAGTTCTGCCTACCAGTGAAAATAACACTTATTGTAGAACGATAAAGTTGAATTTCGCTTAATATAGTAGAGTACTAAACTATAGGCTTCGAAAGGCGTAGGTGTTGTGTAGGCGGTAGTCCCGAAACAAAATGTATATCATAACGAAGGAAGCTCATCCCAAATAGAAAGTTATAGAGGGTAATTTTTTTTAAGTTTTTTATGGCGAGAAATTATGAATGATTGATTTAGAAGACTGTTTCGCTAATACTGCAGAATGGAGAATAATAATGATATCAAATCTTAATGAAAACTAAAATGTGTATACAATTCAAAGGGATGGGTTCTTTTCACCCCTATCGACCTATCGATAAATAAATCAAGCCTTAAATATAAAAGGCGAAAAAGAAAAAGGAAGACACTTTTAGGGACTTGCTGCACTCATAGTCGTTAAGTGGTCCACTTTATTATAGAAATCTACACTAAGGTTTCAGGAAGAAGGAAGTGAGGGCGATATTTGCGGGTGTGACAGGAACATACGGCACAGGGGTGACGCACCGCGCATGCGCCGCGCAAGGGGCGGCCGCGCGCAGTCGCCACGCGCCCGTCCTCAAAACAACATGGCGTACGTTCGCGTCCAAGGACACCGCTGACAGCGAACGATTTTACAGCTGTTATCAATTCATAAATACTCCGTTTTTAAGTGATTAAAGATGTTCAGTGTTTTTTTAGTGGTGTGTTGAACTTTTGTGTTTTTAATTATTGGAATACCGGCGCTTTGCACACCGATTTAAAAAGGTGCGTACGCAAAAACTGTGTGACATTTTTATTGCATTCTTGAAATGCAATTAAATGTCAAATATTTGATTTATGTTTATTTGTATCATATCTGTAAATAAATAAAATCGGTTATACACAAATAATATATTAATTAAAAAAACATTTTTATTCCTACGAAAATAATAAAAAGTTGCTTTAGTCATTTTAAAAGGTGCGACGAATTGACGGTTATTTAATCAAAGTTAAAGTAAACTCAAGGTTTTCAAAACAACAAATACCCAAATAATTTGCATAAATACAAGGCATTGCATTTTAATGTTTACTTTTGAAAAACCACCCAACGACGTACTGATAAGCCCCTCCCATGCTGCAAGTTGGACTTATTAATCTAACTTAAAAGCTCGGATAGTGAATTAAACGAATCTGTCAACTCCAAATGGGTAAAAAAGGGCGAAAAAAACCTTTAAGAAATTATACCTATTCCGCCCCGAGTCGAGGAATTACAAATTGAACTCTTGATTTGTTATTACATAGTTGATGATGTCAAATATAGCAAAATAAATGCTTTATGATATTAACAATTTTAGTCTCTTTCCAAACGAATACATATTTTTAACATATAAATCGCAGATACGAATAATCGTGGCACATTTTTATTATTCTTTACCTATAAAATACCTAATATGTTTATAGGAATTACGCAATACTACTGTACAGAATTCTACACACGGTTTAATGTAACACATATGTCGTAAGTTTTAAAAAGGTACAGAATGTAGTCTGTATGTCCAATTTTACATTACGACATCGAACTAGAATTTCGAGTAAAAACGCTAAATGGTTAGTCTAAAATGTCATTCTCCTTGCACATTTAGTGACTTCGATTTCGTTGAAATGCGTACAAATCTTAATTACTTTGCAACGAGGTATATTACTTTTGTAGGATCAAAGGAAGGAAACAAACAAACCAATGACGGCAATCGTTGACCGCAACGTTATAGGGACTTCCTCGTTATTTCCCAACGTTGGCTGACCAACAACATTGAGCCGATCTAATCAATCACGTACTTCTTTTTAGCGTCTATGGTGTGTTTTACCATCTAATTCAATATAATACAATATTTATTGGTAACGTTTAAATTACAGGTCAAAGAGAATTTACAAAAAAAAAATGGCATTGAAAAAAAAAACAAAAGTTGCAAAATATTAAAGTCCTCTAAGCATTAGATCAGAATAGGTATTAGATTATTGATTATTTTCGCAGTAAACACATAAAAACCAAATAAGGCGTGAACACAGAAATATAAAATCATTCAGCCACCCCTCTCTAATTCGGTTTAATGAAAGATCGATACGATTCAAGGGACAACCGAATCGGATTCAGGAAGACATATTACCTACTGTCCCTTCTTTTAAGACAAGGAAAATACGTCCAAATTCCTAAAATTCAATCATTTGTGATTTTTTTTATACTTTAGGTATTTCATAACTTTATTATCCGAAGGTCATTCATCATCATCAGCTCACTATAAGTCCCCACTGAGGTACTCAGAGCTTATCTTAAGTTACGGGTGACCAACCTTAGTCAACCAAAGAAAATAAAATTAAAAGGACCCGGTCTTAGAAGACTGATCTTATGTTATTGTAGGTTATTCGCGTATTGGTTACTTATACCTTATTGTTTAGTTTTTGATTAAAAGTGATTGAATCGATATGGTCAACGAACCCATTACATACATTTAAGGATGGTACTTCCCGTTTCAAAATTTGCGACTTACATCATCACCGACGTTTCAATATATATTAGCATACTAAATACAGTATTGCACGCGTTCGCACTTTCTTTCAATCAGTACGTGTGAGGTGCTTACGTGCAAATTAAGTAATACGCAATATCCATATTCATTACGCAGCAATTATGTACATGAACGCGTTAATATAACTATTAATCGTTGGATAATGTACGCCTTATGTATTAAAACATAGTTAGATGTATATTAATTATTATTACATATATCAAACCTTAAAAAATAAAATAAATCTTATATAAAAGAGGATGTTTGGATGTATGGGCGCATGGTTGTTAGAAGGTATCTCCACAGCTGCACGGATCTCGTTGAAATTAAACGTAGAAGCCTAGAAGAATACATAGGCTTAGGTTAATTAAGTTTCTTTTTAACTCCGCGCGGACGGAGTTGCGGGCGACAGTTAGTCTTACTAATATACGCTTTTGTTTCGTGGTTTCACGTAAGTATAGATAGATGGAAGGATGGATGTTTGTTACAAGTTATCTCCAAAACGGCTCATCGGATCTCGATTAATTTTGGCATGAATGTAGAACACAGCCTGAGGAACACATAGGCTACTAATAAAGTTCAATTCCGCGCATTGAAGTCGTCGGCTATAGCTAGTAATATAACTGTTGAAAGCCATGACATCTTAGATATGGATATAGTCGTAATATTGATGTAACTAACAGGTAATTACATCGTTATGACTCGATGCACAGAAATGATAACACATGTAAGTTTGTATTAACATGTGTCTAATGTCCACAAAACAAAACCATAACGTACTTAACTGTATACCTCGTATAGATAACTGCCTTTCAGTTTATAATGCTTGTGATAGTAACGAAAGTTCTAGAATTGTTAATGTCAATATCGCTACTAAACGCTGTCAAAATTTTGAAAAAAAATTTATGTACTTACCAAACTGCCAGTTCGATCAGACGAAATTAATTAAGTTAATATTAATTAAGTTAGTTATAATTAATTAAATACAACTGTCTTGATCTAATACATCTATCTTAAAAGTCTCTTTCCACGAAGATAGACCTATGAAGTATTAGTCGCAACAGCGCTATTTTAATTTATAAAGACGGACGATCGTTAGCCACTGGTGGAAAGAGGCACTAAGTAAACTTTAGTTCAGTTTGCTCTTTTACTATAGATGTTTTGGGCATGAGTTAACAAATTAGGCGACCGTTCGTTTGTTTCTTAGTCTAAAAAAAACTAAAGCAATTATTACAAAGTACTAAAAACTTTTTCAATAAGGATATTCGTTGCCTCTATATCAGCCCACCCACGCAACGTTGATAATAACGCGTTTGTTTGACTGAACATATATGTTGTATGTATGAATTATAAACTGATAACAAATAGTTCTAATAAACTGCGCAGGCTTAGGGTAAAATTTCGATTAATATGGCACTAGGTTTTTTGTAGATTTATGTAGTTTTTGTTTTCAAAGAGAATGACAGCGATTTTTTTTTTACTAGTAGATGTAAGTGAGGAACTTATGGTAGGCTCCGAGCGCCTCGGTGGGGACATATTGTGAGCTGATGATGCGAGGAACTTACTGTAAGATACACCTACATTCAATACTAAACTTGAATTTTTTTTTACAAAATTATGATGAAGGTTTAATTATAACAAAGTGGTCACTTTGTTTTAAAT